CTTGTCATCGGGGTTGTGCATGATTTAAATATTTTGTGTGGTGAAGATAGAGCATAGCCAGACTATATGATTTTGTAGGCATAACTTTCTTTGGCCATGTTATTTTGAAGAGACATAATTGCTTAGTTAGTATGCTTGAAGTATTATTATTTCTATGTCAACGTTGAACTTTTGTCTTGAATCTTTCGGATCTGAATATTCATATCACAATTAAGAAGAATTACATTGAGAATATGCCAAGTAGCATTCCACATCAAAAATTCTGTTTTTATCATTTACCTACTCGAGGACGAGCAGGAATTAAGCTTGGGGATGCTTGATACGTCCCCAGCGTATCTATAATTTTTTATTGTTCCATGCTATATTATATTTTGTTTTGGACATTATTGGGATTTATTATACACTTTTATATTATTTTTGGGACTAACCTACTAACCGGAGGCCCAGCCCAATTGCTGTTTTTTTGCCTATTTTAGGATTTCAAAGAAAGGGAATATCAAACGGAGTCCAAACGGAATGAAACCTTCGGGAACGTGATTTTCGGAACGAACATGATCCAGAGGACTTGGACCATACGTCAAGAAATCAATCAGGAGGCCATGAGGTAGGGGGGCACGCCTACCCCCCCCCAGGCGCGCCCTCCACCCTCGTGGCCCCCCTATTACTCCACCGACGTACTCCTTCCTCCTATATATACCTACATACCCCCAAACTACCAGATACGGAGCCAAAACCCTAATTCCACCATCGTAACTTTCTGTATCCACGAGATCCCATCTTGGGGCCTGTTTTGGAGCTCCACCGGAGGGGGCATCGATCACGGAGGGCTTCTACATCAACACCATAGCCTCTCCAATGAAGTGTAAGTAGTTTACCTCAGACCTACGGGTCCATAGTTATTAGCTAGATGGCTTCTTCTCTCTTTTTGGATCTCAATACAAAGTTCTCCCCCTCTCTTGTGGAGATCTATTCGATGTAATCTTCTTTTGCGGTGTGTTTGTTGAGACCGATGAATTGTGGGTTTATGATCAAGTTTATCTATGAACAATATTTGAATCTTCTCTGAATTCTTTTATGTATGATTGGTTATCTTTGCAAGTCTCTTTGAATTATCAGTTTGGTTTGGCCTACTATATTGATCTTTCTTGCAATGGGAGAAGTGCTTAGCTTTGGGTTCAATCTTGCGGTGTCCTTTCCCAGTGACAGTAGGTGCAGCAACGCACGTATTGTATTGTTGCCATCGAGGATAACAAGATAGGATTTTCATCATATTGCATGAGTTTATCCCTCTACACCATGTCATCTTGCTTAAAGCGTTACTCTGTTCTCTTGAACTTAATACTCTAGATGCATGCTAGATAGCGGTCGATGTGTGGAGTAATAGTAGTAGATGCAGGCAGGAGTCGGTCTACTTGTCTCGGACGTGATGCCTATATACATGATCATACCTAGATATTCTCATAACTATGCTCAATTCTGTCAATTGCTCAACAGTAATTTGTTTACCCACCGTGAATACTTATGCTAAAAATATCAAAAAAATTATCTTATCATATCTATCAGATCTCACTCTCGTAAGTGACCGTGTAGGGATTGACAACCCCTTATCGCGTTGGTTGCGAGGATTTAATTGTTTGTGTAGGTGCGAGGGACTCATGTGTGGCCTCCTACTGGATTGATACCTTGGTTCTCAAAAACTGAGGGAAATACTTACGCTACTTTGCTGCATCACCTTCTCATCTTCAAGGGAAAACCAACGCAAGTGCTCAAGAGGTAGCATTATGTGATGCATGGTTGGCCGTATTTGCGGACTTTATAAGCATGAGGCAAGGGGGCTCAACCTTTTGGTGTTATTTTGAGTGGCTTGTCATCGGGGTTGTGCATGATTTAAATATTCAAAAGCACTCCCCGCCCTAGGACTTGCATGTGATCCGTGAACACAATGTGAAGTCGTTAGCCCATCTGTGGTACACCATCTCCAACCCCGTTATGAAGTATTACGGTGCGACTACACAAGTGGAGAGAAAGTGGTCACCGGGTGCGTCAATCATGGAAATAGTAGGTTTTGCTTCTTATTGATTCAGTCAATATTGCACTTGATAATCTTCACATTCAATAGCCCGGGTGAATTGTTGTGCTGTACCAGAGAATCAAGGGCATCCCATGTATGTGCCGTTTTTGACCCGAGTATCATTGAATTCAAAAAACTTGTTGAATATCTGGTTATCTCGGATGTAACATTTATATTTGAACTATTTTTATACTATAGAAAATGGCATGTTATTTATGAATGAATTACGATATTTTCTGTAATTATTTTGAGTGTTATGGACTTGAAAAACGTTTAGGTGACGGACTTAGATGAGCAGCTCAGGTATCCATGTCCACAAATCCGGATCAGTCTACGGATAAATAACACTAATACTACGGGGGTATTTGGTTCCAGGGACTTTTTTGTGTTGAGACTAGAAAAAGTCCCTAGCAAACCAAATAGAGTGAGACTTTTTTGGAACTTTTTGCTAAAAGTCCTTAGAAGCACCTTTTGAGAGTCTTTTTCAAAAAGTCTTAGGGACTAGAAAAAGTCCTATAACTAGATAACCAAACACCACCTACATCTACGAACCTTACGTAATTTTCAAAAACCACATTCTGTCTCCCCCCGATTTCTAGGGGGTGGGCCCCTCCTCCCCCTACTTCCAATAACAGTCTGCCACCTGGTTGTTTACGTAAAACTCAACGTAAGGTTTAGTAGATGTAGCATTGCTCGATAAATAATGTGTCCGTCTTAGAGGAAGACCTCGGAGATGCCCCAACCCTAAACAACCATCATAGTCCTGGCTTGGGTCAGTGGGGAAGATCCTCCTTATCCGATAAACAACCATATTGTTGGCGGTCTAGGAGCCGGTGGGGAGTTGGAGGAGAAGTAGAGGAAAAGATTTGCGCACTTTGAGTCAGTGGTTGACGTGACACACGCAGTACCGCACCAGCTCATGACCAGAACGAACAACAAACCTTGTTGTGCTTGCAGCCTGCGCACTGTAAAAAGTAGACATGGCCTCGCCCACATCGGCGAGGATTTCGCTTCCCCTGCTCGTGAGTCGATGATACGATCTCCCATTCCCATCCAGCCAGCTCGCTCGATAGCAGAGCCCGCCGTATCGCGCTAGCAGCCGAGACCGACAGATGGACAGGACAGCGACCGTCGTCTCCCTCTCCGCGAGCCGGAGCAAACGGCCTGTGTCCGTCCGCGCCGTGACACGGCGATCACATGCCCGCGCGCGTGCATGCACCCGGGAGTGAAGTCTATTTTAAACCCTGATTTCGTAAAGCGTGACGCAAATGAATCATCACGTCTAAATTCCTAAAGTTGATACCCTATACTCCTTGATCCCGATCAAATCAAACCTTGAATCTGTTTGGCGTACCGGGAAAATAATTATCCCGGCCGAGATCACTCTCCACAGTCACTAGTCACTGACCACCCGGGTCCATATGTCTTCACCTTCCATCTCCTAATCTCTCTGTCTTTCTCAACAACCAACGCTCGAAGTTCTACACAATCTGGAGCTATCTTGATTATTTCCAAGCAAGATGCGCACGCAGCCACGTACATGACGTAGGCCGCCCCCTGCCTTGATCGATTCTTTGCTGGAAACAAACAAGCAACGCATGCACCCGAGATGTAGTGTGCGCGGACAGCCGCGACATACTAGCAAGTCCAGCTCGTCCAAGTCGACGGTGAGGCCAACGCACCCAGCGTACTCGAGGACGACCCTGATGCGCGCATCATGATTTGGGTCGACTGACTCGCGTGCGCTGCTGGGGAGGACGACGCCATGCCCGTGCGGCCGTGCAGCCGTACCTTTGCTCGTTCTGGGCGCGTTGGCCGAGAGCCGCACGCCGTGCCCAACCCTGCCGCAGGGGCGGCGAGGCGGACGGAGGGGAGGCCGCGTGCAACCGACGCAGACAAAGGAATGACGCATCAGCAACCACGAGCGGGGAGGTGACGGCATCTGTTGTTTTCCTCGCGCTCGCGCGGAGGTGAAGCCGCAGGTCAAGGATCTCTGGAAAAACCGACGGTCCGCCAAATGAAAGATCTCCAGGGCGCCGTCGAGATCGGGTTCCGACGTCCTAAATGCGCAGCTCCACGCGCTGGCCTCGTGGCCGTGCTCGCCATACTTGCTATTCCAGGAAGAAGATGGACGCTTAGAAGAGAGTAGGGGAGATTGAGGAAGAAGATAAAATATGACATGTCCGTGTAGTACGTGAGAGAAACAACCGATCCCGATCCGGATTGTCCTTTCAAACAAGTATAGAATCAGTCTAGGGTTTAGATTGACCGGGATCGAAAAATATAGGGTACAAATTTCAGGAATTTAGACGTGAGGGTTCATTAATATCACACTCTACAAAATCAGGGTTTAAATCAGTCTTCACTCTGCACCCGGCCACGGGACATCCACGGGCGCAGTGCGTCGACGACAGCCCATTGATCACGTACGTGAGCGCGCACACGCGTAGTTTATGGGGCGCGCCGTGCCGCGCTGCCGGCCGGTCGCGGCGATCGAAGCGGGGGAAAAGGCCGAACCGGCGACGCTGGAGCGCGCCGGCGCGAGCGGCGGGTTCACGTGCGCGCCGCGCGCGGCCGCCCAGAACCGCCGAGGCGACCGAGAAAAAGGTGGCGCGACGACGAGGGCCACCGGCCAAAGCTTAGCGAGTAAAATATAGTGCTCCGGTTACAGTATCAGGATTCGGCAGTGACCATGTATGTAAAACAAGCAGGAACCCAACAAAAAATCCCCGGGAAAAAAGTATGGCGCCACGCCATGGCTACGTACGTACACAAGGGAACACACGGATCGCTCGCTCTGACGGGAAACTGATGATAATTCCGGGAGCAAGAGACAAGGGCTCGTGACGACGGCACGACCCACCACCCGCCGTCCAGATTCACGCTCGGCTTAATCACGCCCCGCTTGGTGACGTCCCGCGGCCGCGCGCTAGCTGTAGTGGCGGTGGCGCCGGGCGGCGCCGCTGGTGCCGGTGCCGCTGGTGCTGGCCGTGGTCCCCGTGGTGGCCGCGGACGCCTGCGCGGCCATGGCGAGCTCGAACTGCCGCGCGGACAGCGCCGGCGGCTGCGCCTTTGGCGGTGGAGGAGCGGCGGAGGAGGAGGCTGAGACTGAGGTGGACGCCGACGCGGTGGCCGGAGCGGTGGTGCCAGGAGGAGGGGCGGCGCGGTTCCAGGAGCGGACGCTGGAGGTGGTGCTGGTGCTGCCGTCCCAGCCGATGTGCGCGACGTGCTTGACGTCCGTGGGGAGCCCGATCACCATCTCCGGCTCCTCCTCCTCCTCCTCCTCGTCGTCGTACACCGCGAAGATCTGGTGGGAGAGGTTCTTGAACCCCCGGAGCAGCCGCGCCACCAGCGACAGCGACTCCCCCTTGGCCGGCTTAATCCCCGGCGCCGCCGACGTCCCCTCGCCGCTACAGCCAGCACCTGCGTACGTACAGTCGCCGCCAATCCAACATCAAATCAATCAGCGAACGAACAAGAAGTAAAACGGTACCAAGACAGCGCGCTAGCTAGCTAGGCCCTGCTCGGCGGCGTACCTCGGGGCTTCTTGGAGTGGACGACGTCGACGCTGGCGGCGGAGCGGCAGGCGGAGAAGGGGATGACGATGAAGCGGTCCCTCCGGCCGCGCTGCTGCTCCCTGCTGCCCATGCCGGCCGCTTCCAGAACCAACCAAGAAATCAATCCGGCCGGGCCCCGGGGCTAGCCGGCTAGCGCGCGAGCAAGGAAGGAAGGCAGGCGGGCGGCGAGGTAGCCTTAACTGGAGCAGGAGCGGAGGAGACAGAGGCGCTAGTGCTACTGCTAGTGCTGCAGCAGCCGAGCCGCCCGCCCACGGTACTGGTTGCCGAGTTTGGTATCGGCCGGGAGCGAGCTAGAAGCAGAGGGGGCAGAGAGTGGCTAGGCAAGGCAAGCGGCGACCTGCGGTGCGGCGTGGGGCGAATAGTAGAATACCACACCACTTGTAGCGGTAGTTTTGGCGCTGGCACCACGCGTAGCCGGTAGCCTAGCGACTCCTATATCGAGAGCCTGGTGCGGCAGCGGCGGCAACAGCGGTGCACTCGCACTGCATGCATCCACGCTGTGGTGCTCGGCGCGGTGGGGGCAGGGGAGGAAGAAAACAGGGAGGGAGGGAGTGGGTTGGGTTGGGACGGTTGGTAATTTCGTACCCACCCCCACCCCGACCCCCACCCAGCCCCAGGGCAGGACTATTTTTGCACAACACGTGACAGCGAGACGCACGCAACGCATATACTCCTACATGGCATGGACGGATAATGCATGGGCCGTGGATTAATACTCCTACATGGCATGGACGGATAATGCATGGGCCGTGGATTATGGATGGGTGATTGAGTGGGTGCGCGGCTGGTCGGCCAGTGGCGGAGCTAAAAAAAAAAAATTGGGCGGGCCAGAGAATACAAATGTTTTCAAATTCTGAACCATGTATATATTTAATCTACCAAAGCATACCAAACAGCGCTACCAAATTGGCAGTAAACTATAATTGACTGCACTGTTAGACAGTAAACAACAACACTACTTTTGTTGTGAACTCGTAAACTGTAAAAGTGACATCTGTTGTGAACTTGTAAAGTGTAAAGAACTGATCTTCAGTGGATTAATTATGCTTATTGGGGGTCGAATTTAGGGGATTTAGGGGATGATTTAACGAACAATGGCCTATGTTGAATTTAGGGGAATAAAATTGAGAATCATTCAAATCGATTTACCTTGCAGGGATTCACATCAGTAGTGATTTTGATGAATTCAGAGAAGAAGCTGGCTTTTTTTAGAATCATTCTGATGGATTGAGAGAAAAAGCTAGCTAGTTGGGTGCCTGGGTCGGATGGGTCGGCTGAGTAGATGTGTGCCGGTTGGCCGTCCGTCCGTGGGACACTGACGTGTGCGGTGCTCCGGTGGCCGGCGGTTGATGTCTGCTTCCTACTGCGCTATGAGGTGGCTGTCACGGTCGTACCCTGAGCCTGCATCGCTGTGAATCGTATGTGTACGAGTCTGCTGTGTGCCTTCTCTGTATGCTGTCCGTCAGCGCTGTGGGCTGCAGTAGTATATAATTTGTTTTTTGCTCCATACCTGGGCGGGCCACTGCCCAATCGGCCTTGCCGAAGCTCTGCCAATGTGGTCGGCGTCTCGGTGAGGCAGCAGCGGCAGCAGGGCAGTTGGGCTCGGGGCATACTATATTCCTGAAGCTGAACCCGCGTTTGGTTTGGGTTGGTTTGGCTTGGTTTCCATGGACCAATGCCCAACTGCTTCCCTCTCTGCCTGTCACCAGCGCCCACCACTCCTAATCTCTGTACGTGGGCCTCGCTACGCTGTCGACACGCGGTGTACGCAGAGTGCCAGTATGTACACACCACATACTGTTGAGCCGTATTGGCGGGAGTATGTACGCTTCTGGTGCTGTTGAGCCGTATTGGCGTACGCCCGTCCATCGTGCCAGCCAGCTGCTCGCTCGGCCGTTGGCGGCTGCCAGGAACAACTCGGCTGGCGATTGGCGGACGTGCGTGCGTACTCTCGCCGCCTCACCTGCTCGTGTCGTATGTACTCGTAGCGTAGAATATCCAGCTCAACTTTTCAAGGGAGAATGACTGTGCACGAGTACTGTGCGCCGCACTTTGCCGTTGGCGTCTGCGTGTATGCGATGTTCTGCATTGGTACTGGAGCAGCTTTTCACGAATGCGTAAAACTCGCGTATCATTTCATTGAAATAAAAAAAGTCAAAAGCATCAAATAACGTAGTACTGCTAGTTATTGCACGATGACGTAGATGTCTGAGCTGCTCAACAAATTAAGTCTGAACTTCTGTTTTTTTATTCAGTCTTGCTAACTCTTAGTCGATGCTATATTCTTGAGATCTTGCATTAAAATCCGTGTAAAATGTTCTTTTCTATTTTATCTCCTCTTGCATATTATGTCACTTGACTGAGGTTTGGTTAAATCTCAGTCAACTGAGACCTAGCAACGACATTTTTTATTTTAGGGAAAAGGTCTGGACATATGACAATTTTGTTCTCTCGTTTCCTTTTCTTTACCGAATTCTCTAGTTTTCCTTTCAGTGAGGAGGAGATGGAGAACCTAGATGGTATAAAGGTGAGCAGGAGTGCTCCAGCTATTTCTCATCTTCTCTTTGCAGATGACTTGTTGATCTTGGTGAAGGCAAATACACAATGTGCAAGTACCCTTAAACATATATTGCACACATATTGTAGTAGTTCAGGGCAGCTGGTAAGTAATGGCAAGTCCAGTATATGTTTTAGTCCTAATTAACACCCCTATTGGGGTAAGGGAGGATATTTGCAGGGAGTTAAACATAGTTGCAGAAGCTTTATCTGACACATATTTGGGGTTGCCCACTCTGGTGGGTGTGGATAAAAGTGATTGTTTCCAGCATCTTATTGATCATGTGTGTCAAAGGCTCAAGGGCTGGAAGGAAAAGATTCTATCTATGCATGGAATGGGGATATTACTGAAAAGTGTAGCACAAGCTATTCCCTCCTATGTTGTGTTGGTGTTTAAGTTGCCTAAAGGAATTTGTAAGGCAATCATAGATGAAATATCAGGAGTTTGGTTGGGCGACAATGAGGAAAAGAAGAAAATGTATTGGTTCATATGGTGAAAAAATGTGCATTCCCAAGAAGAAAGGGGTCTTGGGATTTAGAGACTTTCACGGTTTTAACCTTGCTATGTTAGCAAAATAGTGTTGGCGACTAATCCAGAACCCGAATTCTTCATGTGCACATGTCCCGAGTGTTAAATACTACCCGATGGTAATACCTTAGGGGCTAGCCTGAGGAAGGAATTGTCATACACCTAGCAGAGTGTTGTTGCAGGAACACAGACATTTAAAAGGGGCTGTATATGGAGAATCGGTTCGGATGCACATATAAATATTTGGCAAGAGCCATGGATTCCATCCAGCCCGTCACAGAAAGTCATTACTCCTAGAGGTGCAACAATGCTTACATATGTGGAGGAACTCATTAATCCACATATGGGTCAGTTGGATGAAGGTTTCATAAGGGATGTTTTCTCGCAAGTGGATGCCTATAGAATATTACAAACCCCTCTCAATGTTCATATGGTGGAGGACTTTGTGGCATAGAATTATATGACGTCGGGGATGTTTTCTGTTTGGTTCGCATATCACTGAGAGTTTGAGCATCAACATGGACAATGCCTAGAGCATCAACATGGACAGCGCCTAGCTCATTCTGATGGACGGGGTAACATGCATATGAATAGTATTAGGAAGGAAGTATGGAACCTCAAGATACCGGGAAAAATTAAACACTTTGCATGGAGAGTTCTAAATGGGTCACTCCCCTGCTTTGGTATCCTAGCAGATAGAAATATTTCACTAATTCCCGAATGTCCGATCTGTCGCGTTGGACTTGAGGACATCCAACACACTTTATTTTGCTGTGATCGAGCTATGGATGTGCGGACTGAGCTAGGATTACATCAACTGATAACAGATGCAGTGAAGGAGGATCGGTCGGGTTCTATGACAATGGAGATCTTGTCCAGGAACCATTCGGTCCTGGACGGATTACCTATAACAGAATTGATCATGGTAGCTTCTTGGTATATTTGGTGGCAATGCCGCCAACATGTGCAAGCAAAAACAATCCAGGCACCTATTAGAACATCAGTTTCTATCCAAATACCGGCGACGAATTATACTAGAGCACACATAGCAAAGCAGCCTATGAGGACGCAAGATCAGATGTGGAAGATGCCGAATAGAGTTATTGTTAAAACTAGATGATACCCCACGCGTTGCTACGAGAACTTTTGATAAATAATTTAATGTTTAAAAAAGTGACTTCTTTATGAAACATAGTATAAGTAGATGTAAAGAATTTTGTTTGGAAGAATATTGTTTAGAGTAAGCATTTAAAACAAATTTGATGAACAACTAAAAAATGTGTGATTTTTGTTTTGTTAATCTATTACCTTGGCAATATATAAGCGAGGTGATATGACATAGAAACAACGTTGCGTAGAGGCAGTGGAGACATCTCAACCCTTGGCTAGACCTAAAACAACTATATCAACTACTAATATGCATTCACGGAAAAACATAGCTCCCTTGGGAAAAAACACGAGTTCACTCATAATTTGATTTTCTATTAAAAGAAGAAGGTCACTAGCCCAGGTAGCTCATTCACCACAATATACCCAAGTAGCTCATTCACCACAATATACCCAAGTAGCCATAATTATTTTAGTTTATCATTTTCACGTGCACAACCATGCATGCTTGGAATCTTAGTTTAGTCATAAAAAGACCTGATAACCCACAAGTATAGGGGATCGCAACAGCTTTCGAGGAAAGAGTATTCAACCCAAATTTATTGATTCGACACAAGGGGAGCCAAAGAATATTCTCAAGTATTAGCAGTTGAGTTGTCAATTCAACCACACCTGGAAACTTAGTATCTGCAGCAAAGTGTTTAGTAGCAAAGTAATATGATAGTGATGGTAACGGTAATAAAAGAGTAACGAAAGCAAATTAATGTTTTTGATATTTTGTAGTGATTGTAACAATAGCAATGGGAAAGTAAATAAGCGTAAACCAGTACATGGAAAGCTTGTAGGCATCGGATCAATGATGGATAATTATGTCGGAT